AGAGAGAGAGAGAAAGAGAGAGAGAGAGTAAGACTTGGGGGGACAGAGTGTGTGACAGGGGACAGCATGTGGGTGAATCCCCCAGGAGCTGTGATGTGTTTAGGGTCCTTACAATGCTGTTGATGAAGCTTAGCTTTAAACAACTAAACAGAAGTGAGACGGAGAAGAATAGTCTGTCGCAGGAAGGAAAATGCCCCGGAAACATTTAGTAATAAGATAGATGGGAACCCTCAGATCCGTGGTGGGGTTTCACAGATAGCGCCAGGACAGGAGTCTCACTGGCCAAGTCTTCTAACTTGCATATTTGAGAGTGGAGAATGACCATGTCAGTTCATAGATGATCAGAACACATCTGGGAACAACACCTGGAAGGCATGATGGAGTCACATTTCAGAGAGAATGGAATCATTCAGCCTTCTGGGGCGGACAAGCCCCAGGGCATCTAGTGAGAACCCAAGTGTGGGAGCCCCGTCCCTCAACTTACTGCTCTGGCCAACAGAATGCTGTCACGGGTTGGGGGTCTGGATCGGGGTGCGGGGAATGCACTGGCCACAAGCAGGTATTATTCCTCTGCTCTCAGCAGAGCCTGGGGCCATCTGCTCCTGGAACCAGGGCTTTCAGCACTTAGGAAGTCGCCCTGGGGCTGGAGAGGTATGGAAAGCCACTGAAAGAGCTGCCGTGTGAAGATGGTCAGAAATGGTTAGGCCTCTCTGGTTAGGGAAAAATGTCTGTAGCAGCTATGATTTAAAAAAAATCACAATGGCCAAGGGTAAGATTAAAGTTATAGACTTTTACCAACTAATAAGTACTATAACTGGAGAGAACAATTTAGTGTTATGCCTCACATAGGAGGAAGGCGGTAGGCATATGGAACTCACATCTCGAGATGTACCATAAGGATAGTAAATAGGTTTAACAGACGTTTAGGTCAGTTCAACAATGGCACTTCAGACAGGGCTGTAAGGGAAGCAAGGGGTTCAAGTCAATGATGAAGGATGCTGTCACTGGCTGGGCCTTGGAGATAAAATACTAACAATGATAACAACATTTACTGTCAGGGAGGCCCAGCGTACTGGTCCATGGTGCTCCTGTCTGAGAGAGTGGCTTCACCTGTTCCCATGCCACTCACCGGGGTGTGCAATGGACAGCAGGATGAGAGAGGAAGGAAAAGGCAGACTTCCCTTGCCTGGCATCTTTAGGAGGAGCTGTCTGTACTTCCCTAGTGAAGGAGCATCAGCCGTGCTGTGAGCCCATAAGGGGCTTTCCAATGGCCTGGCACCAGGGGCATCTTCCAGATGGCCCTGGAGAGGGCATGCAGTTCTAGAACTGGCCTCTCCCAGTGTCTCAGACACCAGTTAGAGATTACACAGCTGGCCTTCTTGCTCGCACCACAAACACCACACCTGCCCTTCACCTCTGCCTTATTTTCCCTTGGCAATTAAGATGCAGAATGTTCTCCTGATGCTATGGTTGTGGGGACCTAGGCCATTCTCAGGGAATTCACGACCTTATTTCCTGGCTCACTGCTACCACACCAATCTTCCTCCGTTTGAAACAGGCCAAGACTCCTGGCTGAGATATTTCCCTTCTTCCTTTTCCTTCTCACTCTGCCTCCATTCTGCTTGGAGGGGGAAGCGGCCACAAGGAGAGGGGCAGGATAGGAGGTGGGGAAAGGCCACGGTTCAATTAGCCAAGTTCAGTTACAAAGGTCTGTAGTACAGCAGAGGTGAGCCACTCGGTTTCCATCTCTCCACCACAGAAGGAGCTGCGGCTGGAGGAACTTCAACAAGACATTTAGAAACTATTCAGAAAGAGCTATGAGATCCAAGAGCTAAGCACAAGAACTATTTGGAAGATGGTTCTGAGATATTTCTGCAAATAGATGAGTCTCATTTCCCTGGAGTAGTGTCCGAGACAAGACCAGATGAGCACTGGGGACCCTCACGTGGCAGGCCTCTAGGGAGTCCCTTGGACTGAGCTGTCCACGGCTGAGGGCCGTCACACACCTGGTGCGCACTAGAGGGCACCCCAGCCCCAGAGAGGCGTCTATAGCCCCGACCGGGTGAGCAGCGCTATTTGGCTCATCTCTGGCCCTCAGGGGCTCTACATCTCTAATTGCCCTCAGGCTTGCAAGGAAGCCCCAACTCTGCAAGAAGCCTTTCTCACAGCTGTTTTGCTAACAACTATATATTCTAGAACAAATTAGGATCAGGAGCAAGGACAGAGTGGATTTAAGACTTACAGTATGGATAGATAGGGTGGGGCAGAGATGAAGGCCTGGCTGGGATGGGAGAGAATGCTGTCTTGGGGGCAGTGCTTCTGCTTACCCAGGTTTGGGGAGACAGGGAGGGGAGCTGGCTGGGTTGGGGATTCTAGTCTGAGGGGCGGCTCTGATTAAAAAGGCCACTGAAGCTGGGTGGGGACACCTGTGCTTTGTCCTGTACCACCTGGAATAGTGCCAGAACACAGGAGGCGTGCAGAGGAGTGCAGAGCACTGTGTGAGTGAATGTAGCGTGAGGGTCAGGCGCTTAGCAGGGACGGAATGGAGAGGTCAGGATGAAGCAGAAAACCCAGGCTGCTAAGGCAGAGGCAGGAGGAGTACTGGTGGCAGTGGGGAAGGCAAGAGCCCACATAAGCTGCACTTAGTGAAGGGAGGGTTCAGTAGCCCTGCCGTTATGATGACCACCGT